TATCTATATAAACAAACTGAGATGTTATCGCAATCCATCTATATTGATAGTTTTTGTAGTTACTACATTATGGCTAACAAGCGTACGGAATTGATCAATACGGGTAGTATATGCTTTCTCATTTCCATTAACACACAGGTGATAAAAACGAATCCTATTACTTACTTTCGGATGTACCAGATGACCAGGAAGCAAATAAATCTAATGAATCATTAACAATGCACTATTAACCTTATTGCAATGAGTAGAAGCATAATCCATCAAAACACCACACACACACACATACACAAACATACACAAAAACAAAAACAAAAAAAGATAAAGAAAAGCAAAAAAAAAAAAAAAAAAAAAAAAAAAAAAAAAAAAACAAAAACAAAAACAAAAATGTCAAAAAAATGAAACAGAAAATTGTTCATCAGTGGTTACCGGACATATACTTTTTGTTTGGTAGTAGGTTAATAAAAACGAAATGAAAGTATAAAAAATAAAGAAAAAAACTCACAATTTAATTTTTTTACTAGTCCTTCACCACCATTTCTTCGTTCATTGCCTTTTTTTTTGTGATTAAAACACTATGATTCTCAGTTTTTTATAGTAAATGTCTAATAGAGAAGAACAAATGAGAAAGGAAGAAAAGAAGGATTGAAGTATAATGGGTGTACAATGATAATCAAATTTATTTAATTTTTATTTTTTGTCCACAAAGGTAATTTCATACATGGATAAAATTAGAAGAAAAAAAAATCTCAAAAATGGAAGATGTAAAGAGATAAATATGTTGTGTAAGTAGAATTTCCCGTATGCCTATGTATGCCAATATTTTTAAGGATTTTTTAGCCAAAACCCTTTTGTTAAGCCCATTTTTAGTGAAAATGGCAGCCCTAACTATTTTATTTTGTAAACCTTCTCAATAAGTTGTGTTTCCTTCCTCAAGGACAGAAAAAATTGTTTCCATCTTTTTATGGACGATCTTGCCCACCAATATTATTCACTATTTTCTCTTTATCTATAACAACTTGTTATTCGTTTCTTGATGATTCCATGCTATATGTAAAATCTATGTGTTGTTTCTAGATTTTCATCAATTTTTTTAGAACTATTTTAGAACAATAATAACTGCAGCTTCTTTTTATTTATTTATATATATCTTTTATAAACTTCTTTCAAATGTTAAATACACATACATATACATCTTATACATGCATATGTATGTCTGCACATATATTCATAAACTAAATTTGTTAGATTGTTTTAAATTCGATAGTTGTTCGAGGTAGAGTTGGAGTTTCATTTGATTATTGTTTGAGATATAATTTATTATTGTTTGTTATGGTTGCTCTTGTAATAAGTACTCTTTCTTGTTTTTTGTTTTTTTTTGTTTGTTTGTTTTGTTTTGTTTATTTTTTTATTTTTTTATTTTTTGGGATTTCCTATTCAAATAATGATAGTAAAATTTTACTCGAATAATGTGCTTTTGGGTAATTTGTTTAGGAACTCATAGTGAAGACATATTTTTCTAATTGATTATTGAATTTGTAGCAATGATTATGGTATTTTACTAAATAAATGTTAAAATTTGAAAGTAAAATTTATTGTAAAACAGAATAAAATTTTACTATTGATGATAATGTTAACGATAAAAATTTTATTATTTTTTTAATGAATTTTATAGCCAACATGAATTTTATTTGATAGATCTTGACCATAGATTCCAAAAATACTAATTTTATTAAAAAAATGATATTTAGATTAAAAGTTGTATCATTTTAAAGTTTAAAATATTAAACTAAGGATATTTTGGTATTAGTGGTGTGTGCTGGATATTTCATGATTTTTTTTTTTATTTTTTTTCCTTGTTAATATATATATGGTATATATTCCTATATATATTAGGCATTGATTTCCTAGATATATTATGTATTGCTATAGTTAGGTCTCTTATAAGATACTCTTTCTCATAATTAGATTTCTAGTAGGATATTCTTTCTCAGCCAACATATACAGGCCTTCTATTGTATAGGACAATATTATTCAATACAATACATTCAATATAATACATATTATTCCTCTCTCTCTCTCTCGCTCGCTCGCTCTCTACTATTCTAACATGGTATTCAAGCTAGGTTAAAAACTTAGTAATTTTGCTTCACCGACGGGTGACAACCTTGCCTTGGCCACCCACCGGACCTCAACCTATTCTGCTGTCATGTTTTCCTTTCAGTATCGCTTCGTAGTGATCTCTTCCTCTATCTACTGGTTTATTCCTATCCCAAATATCTTTATCATATTTTTTTTTGTTTTTTACTCATAATACATTTTTTTTCCTCCACTTTATCTTTCCATCTGCTTCAACCTCAAATTGGATTTTATTTTCCAACCTATTTGAGTTTGAGGAGGGTATTATACCTATATTATGGTGAACATGGTTATACACCATGCAAACCACCTAGCCGCCTCCTTTGACACACAATCCAAGCCACACTCTCTGGAGCACAACCCAAACTGTCCCTCTCTGGTGCACAATCCAAACTGCTTCCTCTGACACACCACCAAACTTGCCCCTTGGCATACCATCCAAGCTGACTCTTAGCATACTCAGTCATCTGTTCCCATCATCATTCAGCACCACATCATAAGTTATGTGTGTGCCACGCTTGCTGGTTCAATATTTAGTCTCTACAATGGTCCGGCATGACCTCGTAAACTGTCCCGACATTGATTCCGGTTAGCTAGTTTCTATATTGGTCCGGAACGACCTTAAATTGTCCTGGCATTAGTTTCAGCCAGTTCCTACAATGGTCCGACACGACCATAAACTGTCTCCTGACTTTAGTTCCGACCTCTGATCTATTTCAAGTGCTCTTGTGCTTCCGTCCGAATTTTGCAATCTATTTGCCTTTTATTTATTTATTTTTTGATCAGCAAAGAAAAAGAAAACTTTATTGATGAGAAGAGCAAAAACAAGCAACAACATACATCAATAAATGAGGGAAGTGCAAAAAGCATCATAACTAACACTCCACAATCCCAACTAGGTTGGCATTAAGGAGGAAGCATAATCATCTGCTAGCACCAAACCCACAGATTGGCGAGAAACCAATCCAAAACAGAGAAACAAAACGAAAAACAGAAAAAAGACCACCCAACCACACAGCAAGGGGCAATCTTTCAAATCTGCCAACTCCTCCCCCAACAAACTCGAGCAATTTATAACCAAAACACCAGCCAACTCCATACCCTTCCAGCCAAAACACTATCACAGGCCTTACATCAACAACAGACAGTAGCAGTAGCATTTTGCACGCAACATACAACAACAAATCAAAAGAATAGCATGCAGGTTTGCGACGATAAACCAGTATACAGCAGCAACAAACAACACTGAGTAATTCATTCTTATAATATTTGGCTTAACCCAAGAGCAATTCTAACTTACACACCACAAAACACAAAAACACAGTAGAGCACCCACATCCAATTGTCTAGATTCTAGTGAAGGTAGCAAGACAGGGCAATACTCATCTCCCTTGCCTGATACAATATTGAATCTTCCTTGGCACCTATTCACTCTACCTAGCTAACAGCAACTTACCAACATTTTATTTCATGTTTTAGTTTCTCATTCCAAACTCAAGATGTTTACCCTCATTGCGTTTGAGGGGGGATGTTAATATATATGGTATATATTCCTACATCTATTAGGCATTGATTTTCTAGATATATTAGGTATTTCCATAGTTAGGTCTCTTATAGGATACTCTTTCTCATAATTAGATTTCTAGTAGGATATTCTTTCTCAACCTATATATACAGGCCTTCTATTGTATAAGACAATATTATTGAATACAATACATTCAATACAATACATATTATTTCTCTCTCTCTCTCTCTACTATTCTAATAGTTCTTAATGGTGCACCAACTGAGGAATTTCAACCACAAAAGGGGCTTAGGCAGGGTGACCCTCTTTCACCTTTCTTGTTCATTATAGCAGCTGAAGCACTTAATTTGCTACTGGGGAGGGCTACTGAGAAAGGCTTATTCCAAGGTGCTATTGTTGGTTCTCAAGAGTTGAGTGTATCTCACCTCCAATTTGCAGATAATACCATAATTTTTTGTGAAGTGGATTTGGAGAAGGTGAAGAATTTAAAAAGAGTGTTGAGGTGATTTGAGGTGATGTCTGGGCTGAAAATTAACTACCACAAGAGTGTTGTTTGTGGGGTGGGCTTTCAAGAGGAACAAATTAAAGAGTTTGCACAGGCCTTGAATTCTCTGACTAAAAGGCTGCCTTTTAACTTCTTAGGTCTGCCTTTAGGGGCCAACCCAAGTAGGAAGAGCACTTAGGTCCCAGTAGTGGAAAAAGTTAAGAAGAAGCTGTCCTCCTGGAAAAGGAAGTTGCTATCTTTTGCAGGTAGATTGTCTTTGATTAAATCTATTCTATCTAATTTTCCCATCTATTTCCTCTCATTGTTCAGGATGCCTAAGGGGGTTGCAAGGTCTGAAGTGAAGCTGTAATCCTCCTTTCTGTGGGGAGGGTCAGAGAATAAGAAGAAGGTGCACTTCGTTCAATGGAGGGAGGTCACCAAAAGTAAATGGCAAGGAGGCTTAGGAGTGAGAGATGTAAGAGAGGTGAATGATTGCTTGCCTTTAAAATAGTGGTGAAGGTATGGGAAAGAAGACAAAGCTTTGTGGAAATCTATGTTATGCTCTAGGTATGGCAGAGTTGGTGGGGGTTGGATGCCACCAGTGTCTCACACAGGTGGGATGTCTAATATTTGGCAGGACATTGTGAAGCTACCTGCTGTTAACTAGTATCTGGGTGAATTTTATGAGGACCACTTTAAAGTATCTGTTGGTAATGGGAGGAGAATTCTTTTCTGGACTGATGACTGGGTATGTAGAGGAGGGTTGAAGGTTAAGTTCCCCAAATTACATCAATTATCTGCTGAGAAAGAGGAAACTCTACATCAAATTAGTGCTAAGAAGAGCAGTGCAGGGGTATGGCAGCTGCAGTTCAGAAGAAGGCTGTTTGCTTGGGAAGAAGAGGAGCTGTAGAGGTTATTAAGCTTGTTGGCTTCATCCCCTGCAATCAGATATGAAATTGAAGATTCTTGCTCATGGTTAGCTAACAACTCAGGTCAGTTTTCAATGATCTCTGTGTTGCAGTGGTGGATGGCATCAAATGGTCCTGGTTTGAATATTCTTGTAGGATTATGGGTTAAGTCTGCTTCCCCAAAAATGCAATTTTTCTGCTGGCTGGCTTGGAGGAGGAGGGTGAAGACTTCATCTTTTCTTAAAAGGATTGGGGTCTTAGCTACAACTGTTAGTTCCTCTTGTGTTTTCTGCAATGTTGTGGAGGAAACCTTGAATCATGTGTTACTCTTTTGTCCACTGATCTGGGAGTGCTGGTCTGTAATGGTAAGGTGGTGGGATCTGGTATGGGCTATACCTGGTTCAGTTCAGGGGCTGCTTCATTGGTGGTCTGGAGGTAAGTTCAAGTCAAAGGAAACCAGAATTTGGCAGGTAATTACATCTGTGGTGTTCTGGTATGTGTGGAAATTAAAAAATGATTGCAAATTCAAGGGAGCTCCACCTGATATTGAAGACTTAACTGAAAGAATTAAGTTGCATATTGCTCTGTGGGCCAAATGGTTATTGAAGGTTGATTACTCTACTCATGATTTTGTTTCTAACTTGCACCAGGTTAGGCTATCTGTGCGAGGTGCTTGAGGTGTTATTGTGGAAGCTTTGGCTGATCTGTCTTGCCTCTATGTTTTCTGTGTTGTGTTGATTTCTGTTGTTGCTTTTGCTCTGTTGGTCTCTCACCAACTGGAGCTTGGAGCTTTGTTAGCTCCAAGCTCCTCTTTATTGATGTAATCTTCTTTTTATCAATATAGATCTCTTTTGCCGATCAAAAAAAAAAAAAAAATGCATTAAAATTTTATTGTAGGGATAGGTTTGACCAAATTTCCGTATTTTTACCTATATGTTCAAACATATATGTCCTTATATTTGAACATATCTATTCAAATTATTTTAATAAATCTCTCCCAATATTTCTAATCTATTAGTTCGAATTATTTTAATATTTTCAACCTATCTATCCAAAATTTATCTATCTTAGAATTATTACTTATTATCTGTTCACATTATTTTAATCTATTTGCCCCCATAATTTGGACAGAAACTTACTCAATTTGGACAAACAGGTACCATAAGCTTCAATATATATATATATATATCATTTATGATGTTAAAACTTGAGCATATCATAATTTCACTGTGATATCCCAAAATAAATAGATATACTACTCCATCATAATATCCTTTAAACATGCAAAATCATAACTTCTTGTGTAATTATCTGACATGCACACATGCGGTTCTTTTTACTTAAACAGAGTTTAACTACTTGTTTCATTACATTTCTTGAGTTTACAACATGAAACTAATTAACATAATCGAGTCAAATCTTTTCTTCTTCTTCTTCTTCTTCTTTTTTTTTTTTTTTTCCAAAAAAAGAGATAGAAATTACATAAACAAAAATATGAGTTACTTATAATTAACAACAATGCTAGGTAGTTCAAAATTTTGTGGCTCAAATGGCTCAAATCACTCAAAACGACGTCGTTTTGACAGATTTTGAGTATAAAACGACGTCGTTTTGACAGATTTGAGCCATTTGAACCACAAAATTTTGAGCTACCAAACATTTTCCTATAATTAATATGTTTATATTCATTAACAAGGTAACAGCTTTACAACCACAGTGGTCTAATGTAGACTACGTGTAGCATGATGATGATTAGATTAGGTGGTAAATTGAAACACATATATCACCCGCGTACGCGGTAACCTAGAAAGCCCATCACATGATGACGCTACTACACCAAAAATAAAAAAAGAAAAGAAAAAGAAGAGTCTAATAAATAGTGAATCCCCATCTGGAGGCATATTTGATGACGTTGCTCATCTCCTCCTCAGTAATGAATCCGTCACCATTTCCATCAGCATAGTGAACAGTGCATCGAACTGATTAGATAAAGACTTGTATAAGCATGGATGATCGTGGATGGAGGCCGGTGTTGCGCAAGCATGGAGGTCAAGGAGGTAGGAATCAAGAACTAGAAAATGAGGTATACACGATATTTGTGGATGACCTACCCGAATCCATGGATCCAAAAGGGTTATATAAAGTTTTTACAAACTTTGGAGTTGTAAAGGATGTGTTTATACCTAACAAGAGAAGAAAGATGACTCGTTCACGGTTTGGCTTTGTACGATATGCATGTTCAGTGGCAGCAAATATGGCAGTTCAAAAAGCACATGGAATGTGGTGTGACAACAGGGCGTTGAAAGTAAAAATAGCAGACTTTGTACAAGGGAAGGGGAATAAACAGAGGCCCTTAACTGCACCAGTTGGAAGAAGGCATATTGGTGGTTCCAGCAGAGTCTCAAATATGGTCCAAGGGGGAAAGTCTTATGCACAAGCATTAAGAGGCGAAGGGTTAGCGCACAATGCTAGTATGAATATAAATGTTTCGGAGGAAAGAAATGGCTGGCTTTACGACAGTGTGATTGTGAGACTCAAGCCTCTAAACTGTGTGACTGCGTTTAAAGAGGAATTGAAGAACAAAGGAATGGGAGACATCCAGATTCAAGAGGGAGGTGGCAGAGACATAGTGCTGACTTTTGAATCAGTAGATACCATGAAAGAGAATATCAAACTAATGGAGGGGTGGATCTCCGAATGGAGTGAGTCAACTAAGGAGTGGTCACCGGGGATGAGATTTGAACAGGAAAGGCTTGCTTGGCTTACTTGTTATGGTGTGCCATTAAACCTATGGAGCAGCAAAATCTTCAGTAGCATTGGAAGGTTGTGGGGGGAAGTCATAGGCATCGATGATGACACAACCAGAATGAATTCTTTCCACAATGGAAAGTAAGGATTGCCACAAAATGTATGGAGTCCATAAATACAACAATCACACTGAGCTGCAAGGGGATAACCTACCCAGTCAAAGTGTGTGAAGAACAAGTGGTTATTTCGAAGGTAGTGTGCCAGCAGTGTAAATGTTACACTGAGACGAAAATCAAACTTCCAATGGCGATGATCAAGAGAAGAGATCTGAAGTAGGGAGCAAGAAGGTTGATGATGAAGCTGATGTGGAGGGCCATGCTGGAGGTGAGTTGGCCATAGATGGTGCTGAGGTGGTAGGAGGGACGTGGGTAAGATAAGAAATGATGATTATACTGATTGTGATGGACATGTTAGGTGGCTAAGCATGGCTAGAGTGGAAGAGTCTGTCATGAACATAGGGTAGTCAGTCAGTGTGCAGCTGCAAAATGGAGTCAGTGGGGGAGCGTGCGGGGGAAAGATAATCAAATCAGTGCTAAAACCTATACAGATTCAAAATGAAAGTAACCAGATAGTTGAGAATGGAGTGGCTACTTCAAGTTTCATGAGGAGTTTAAATGGGCCTAAGAAAATTGGGCCTGGGCTCAACATTGAGGTAGTGTTAAGTAAGGCCAATGCAATAGAGAGTGACAAGATTCTGGGCCATGGTTCATCTAAGGTTAGTGAATTAGAGGACCTGACTTTAAAGGATAGTCGTGATCTTCACAGTGGGGGGTCAACAGCCCATGCAAGAGTTGTAGAGGTGAATACCTATGTGCAAAAAAGAAAGTCTGCTATGGTAGCTCAAAAAAGGAAAACAAGTAAGCAGGAGAAAGCCAAAGGGCTTGCGAAATTTCAGGGGAAGAGAAAAGGAATTTCGCAAATTGGGGTTGGAACTTCTATGAATATCAAGAAATGTGCTACTTTTAGATCGACAGCTACAATACTTTCTCTGTCTCTGGCAAGCAAATCTGGTAGTGGTCAACTCTTACTTAATGAGGTAGAAGCATCTCTCCAAATTGGTCAAATACTTAGGATGAATTGTAAAGGTAATGAGGAGGAAGTGTTAAGTAAATTGATGGAGCTAGAAGCAAAAGACAAGGAAGTGCTGGGTCTAAGGGGCAATAAGGCAGCTTAATATGCCCATCCAGGTGATTTGGTGAGTGAATTTTGTGTCAATGAAGGTTTTATCGTGGAATATCAGAGGCTTAGTAAAGTCTATAAAAAGAAAAAAACTCAAAAAATTACTTTATGAGAGGAAGGTGGATATGGCATTAATTCAAGAAACAAAGAGATCCAGTATTAACGAAAATTTTGTCCGTTCATGTTGGCCTGGTGATCAGATGGAATTTATGGCAGTAGATTCAGTGGGAGTAGCTGGTGGTCTACTTTGTATCTGGAATCCAGCAGTATTCCAACTCTTGACCTGCTGCAGTAATAGGAATTTCATCATCCTCTCAGGTACTCTTTATTGTAGTTTTGACTGTGTTATTGTTAATGTCTACGGTCCAAATGATAGTGCTAGTCGTAGAAAGGTTTGGGAAACATTAAAGAATTTAAAGCAAATCTATGAAAATCCTTGGTGGTTGGGGGGGTGATTTCAATGAAGTCAGGTCACTATCTGAGAGGTTGGGTTGCTCTCAAAGAAGTAGAGGTTTGAATGACTTTAATGAACTAATTGATGAATTGGAAGTGTGTGACATCCAAATGTTGGGAAGAAAATTTACTTGGTGTAACTCACAAGAAGGAGTCAAGTGGAGTAGGTTAGATAGGTTCTTACTTAGTCCAGAATGGATGCAGAAATTCAATTTCAAACTGTGGGGTTTACCAAGAAGGTTCTCAAATCATTGCCCTATACTTCTCATGGAAGATGAGAGGGATTGGGGTCCCAAGCCATTTAGATTTCTAAATGCCTGGTCATTACATCCGAATTTCAAATCTTTTGTGAAATCAATATGGCCTGAAACTAATGTTGATGGTTGGGCTGGCTTTAAGTGTCTAAGGAAACTGAAAATTCTTAGATTAGCATTAAAAAAATGGAATCTTGAAAATTTTGGTAATGTGGAGTTTAAACTTAAGCAGCTGAAGGGAGAATTGCATGCGTTGGACTTGGCAGCTGAAGTCAGGTTACTAAATGAATCAGAGCTATGTAGGAGAAGGGAGGCAAAAGGGGAAGCATGGAAATTGAGTAAAATGGTGGAATGGTTATTGTTACAGAAGTCTAGAGTTAACTGGGTATTAAAAGGTGACCGAAATACAAAATTCTTTCATGTGATGGCCTCCTCAAGAATGAATAGGAATGCACTGGGTTCAATTGATGTCAATGGGGTTCTGAAGGTTGACCCCGTTGAAATTAGAGATGAAGTCCTGACCCATTTCCAGAAGCAGTTTACAGAATCATGGTCTAACAGGCCAAGCTTATCGAGCCCTTTTGAATCAATTGGGGGAGATGAGGCCCGAGTTGCTTTGGAAGCTGAGTTCACAGAATCTGAAGTTGTTGCAGCAATTAAAGAGTGTGATGGGAACAAGGCTCCTGGACCTGATGGCTTCAATTTATTGATGTTTCAGAAGTGTTGGCAAACCATCAAAGGGGATGTGATGCAATTCATGAAAGAGTTTCACATAAATTCGAAGTTGGTTCTTGGTATTAATAGCTCATTTGTAGCTTTGCTTCCAAAGAATGATAATCCTTCTAGTCTCGGAGAATACAGGCCTATTAGTCTCATAGGTTCACTGTACAAAGTGCTTTCAAAAGTTTTATCTAGTAGGATTAAATCAGTCCTACCCAGGATTATTAGTGAATCTCAATCAGCTTTCATAAGGGGTAGACGTATTTTGGACGGTGTTTTGGTTGCCAATGAGATTGTTGATGAGTAGAAGAAGAAGCAAAAGAAATGTATTGTTTTAAAACTTGATTTTGAAAAAGCATACGATTTAATAATTGGGAGTTTCTCTTCTCTATGCTCTCAAATTTTGGGCTTGGCTCAAAATGGATCGACTGGATGAAGGAATGTGTTACAATAGCCAGAATCTTCATCTTGGTGAATGGATAACCTACACCTGAATTCAGTCCTCAAAGGGGCCTTAGACAAGGTGACCCATTATCACATTTTCTTTTTAATATAGTAGCTGAGGGTCTAAACATTCTGCTGAACAGAGCTGTCCAGTTAGGGTTGATTAAGGGTGCAACAGTTGGTTCAAATAATATTATCATTACTCACTTATAGTTCGTAGATGACACCATATTGTTTTTTGAGGCAAGAAGAGAGGAGGTGATCAATATCAAAAGGATATTGAGGTGTTTTGAAATATTATCTGGGTTGAAGATTAACTATCACAAAAGTGTGATTTGTGGAGTTGGAATTAATGAAGAACTCATCAAAGATTTCGCGGCCATCTTGTACTGTCAGCAACACAGTTTACCAATGAAATATTTGGGTATGCCCTTGGGAGCTAATCCAAGGAGGAAAAGGACTTGGCAACCTGTTATCGACAAATTCAAATTGAAGTTGGCTTCTTGGAAAAGAAGATTTTTATCCTTTGTTGGTAGGTTGTCAATGATCAAGTCTGTGCTCTCATCCTTACCAGTTTTCTACTTATCTCTATTTAAAATGCCTGTAGGGATTACAAAGGAGATTGACAAAATACAATCTAGATTCCTTTGGGGAGGTGATGAATTAAGAAGGAAAATTCATTTGGTTAAATGGGGGGAAATTACTCAAAGTAAATGTAATGGGGGTCTAGGCATTAGAAAGGTGAAACTCATGAATGAGTGCCTCCTTTTGAAGTGGTGGTGGAGATTTGGGAGTGAAAATGGCAATCTCGGGAAACAAGTAATCTGCAGCAAGTACCCACAGAATGGAGGGAGTTGGTGGCCTGCCCCTGTTGAAAATACAATGGTATCCATGTTTTGGAGAGATATACTGGAATTCGATGGAAATAGTCCTGAGCTACTGGAGTTTTTTAAGGTCAATGCAAAGCTTATCATTGGCGATGGGAGGGATACAAAATTCTGGTTTGACAATTGGGTTGGTGTTGGGAGCTTAAAAGATGCATTCCCTAGATTATTTTATGTGTCTCTTTATCAATGTGAATCAGTGGCAGTGGTTAATAGCAGGAGAAATGGGAATGAAGAGTGGGATTTGGCTTTTAGACGAACCTTGTTTTAGTGGGAACTTGATGAGCTGAGGAGGTTGAAGGTGATGTTACAATCTGCCCCTGCCCTCAGGGAAGGAGTGCTGGATGGATTGAGATGGAATGCAGATAAGTCAGGAGTGTTTACTGTAGCATCTGCTTACAAGTGGAATGAAGTTTCATCTGGTGTTTTTGCAAAATTAGGGGCTTTCATTTGGAAGAATGTGGCTCCACCGAAGATGCAATTTTTTGGGTGGTTAGCATCGAAAGGGAGGATCAAGACATCATGCTATCTTTAAAGCATTGGTGTACTCAGTGATGTTTTAGATGTTAGTTGTATTTTCTGCAGAACTGAATTGGAAACCGTTAATCATTTGCTATTGTGTTGTCCTTTTAGTTGGAGGATTTGGTCCAATGTTATTAATTGGTGGGGAGTATCTTGGATGTTGTCGGGGTCAGTGTCACGTCTTTTGCAGTGGTGGGATGGGTATAGTTTCAACAAAAAGGAAAAGGTCATCTGGAAGATTATTCCATTGGCGGTGCTCTGGTCCATATGGAGGCAGAGAAATGAACTGATTTTTAGTGGCACCCATGTGGATTTGGAAAGGTTGCGTGAACTTATCAAAATTAGGATTGCTTTGTGGTTTAGAGCCTCAAACCCTTCTTTCTGTTACTCAGTCACTGATATTGTGCACAAGTTGCAGCAGGTGAAGTTCTGCCTTATGTCCTGATGGGGCTGGGATGGGCTCTTATTTGTCTGCTAAGGATGTGTTCATGTTTGTAAGCTGGTTAGTTATTTTGTAGTTGGCTCAATAGGCATCAGTGGTCCAAGTTAGCTCAATTGGCAGCAGTAGCTGGTATAAAAGCTTCTTTCTGTCATTGTTCTGGTTTTATCTGCATTATTCTGGTGTAGTGGCAGCATCTGGTTTATGGTTTATCTGGGCTGTTTTGGCATTGTTAGAGTTCACTTCCCTTTCTTTATGAGTTACTAGCTGCTGTGATCTGTGTTTTGCACTGGTCTGAATGGTGACTTCTCCAACCTCCCCTGGTTTGCTGTCAAATAGAATCAGTGGATGGGTTTTTTAGCTGCTGCTGTATGAATTGGTTGGTGGTCTGGCACTGGGTCTGCAGTTGGTTGGTGGTTTGGTATTTTGGTTGTTTGAATTGGTTGGTGGTCTGAATTGGCTGCTGCTGTTATGTGACCTGATCCTGGTGCTGGTCTGTAGGTGGTGATTAGGGCTGCTCTGTAAGATTGGAGGTGGTAGGATTAGGTTCAAGGCAAGCAACTTGGTAACTTGGTCAATTTAAACCTTAAAGCTCACCAACCCAAACATTTTGGTTCGGTATGCTCTGATTGAGAGGAACATATCAGAATGGGATCTTCTTTTTGGTTTGCTAATGCATTGGTGTTGAGATGCTACTTGGTGTGATGCTGCTATAGACTAGTTTTGGTGTCCATCATCAGAAGCTATTGGTGGTAGTATTGCTGCTATTGCTGCTGCAGAGTGGTAGTTTTGTTGCTGATTTGTTTTGTTACTAATGCCAGCTTCATGAATCTGTTTATGTGCTCTGCTAAAATAGCAGCTTTGTTGTAGATGAATGGTCTTTAAGGGGTGTGTTATGTTAGGCTGGGCTGCTGTGAATTTTCGTTTTTGGATGTCTGATCTGTTTGTTTTGTTTTCGTTTTTGCTCTACATGTTGGTTACTCACCAACTTGGAGCCTGGAGTTTGTGCTAGCAGATGATTTGGTGTGCATCTAGGTGCCAACCTACTTGGGATCTGAATGTTTCACTATGATGCTTTTTGCACTCTCCGCTTTATTGATGTATGTTATCATACTCTGTATGTTTTTCCATCAATGAAGTTTCCTCTTTTTTTTGCTGATAAAAAAATTGGTAAATAGCGCAACGAGCTCTCAAGCCGCTGAAACGCAAACCCAGGCTTCGGAAGGCTACCTTTGTGGGAGTATCAAATAATTTTTCCTTACGTATATAGTAGAATTTATATGTTTCAAACTTTAAAATTTTATAACTTTCGATGTATACATTTGTTTTTGATAAAAATTATATTTTTAAAAATTACCCAACGATGTCTATCAAATAAGATTTCAATTGAATATAAAATTATGCAAAATGAAAAATATATATCAAAACGTCAAACTTTTTTGAATTTGAAAATGTGACTTTTGAAATTTCACATTTTTAGAAATGTTTTTAAAATTACACATAGTTTATGATTTGAAAAAAAATTAAATTTAAATTTCTAATGTCAAACTTCACATATTCAAAATGTAAAGAAATAAAAATAAATTTCACAGTTCCATATTAAATCCTAAAGATATTTCATAAATATAAAAAATACTTAAATTATCTGAATTTTCACAGTTGTTATGAATAAAACTAATGCGATTTTCACACTTGTTATGAATAAAATTAATGTGATTTTTTTTTTTTGAAGTGTGAAAATTTATATCTTCAATGAATGAAAAAATTAGAATATTTGAAAACTATGAATATTTTGAAAAGTGTGAATATTCATACCAATTTTTATACTTTTTTAAAAATTCACAATATTTAATTTATTGAGAATATTCATATTCATAATAATTATATATTTTCAAAATTTCACACTAAAGAGATTCCAATTATAATCTAACTATAGTGATTTATTTATTTTTTATTTTTTTGAAAATGTAGATTTTGATATAATATTATATATAATAAAAATAAATAAATCATATTGTGGAAGATAAATTAAATTAGATATTCTAAAGAAATCTTCTCCTATAATTAAGTTGCATGATGAATTGGAATTCTATTGCCAAATTTAGATATACATTAAAAAAGGACTTTTTTTTTTTTGGTCCTTTTGAAAGCTATGAGACTAAATGGAATTATAAATTATGAAGTAGATCAAATGGAATACAACTTTAGTTATGAAATTTATATATAAAAATTCCAAGAAAAAAATGTGAAATAGAAAAGTAATTGGTTGGAGATAAGAGGAACTAACTTTGTTCGTTCTTTTTGGTGGACAAGTGCTCAATAGAACCACCTCTCCCTACTCTAGTGTGAGCATCTTATGCAACTTTGTGCTTAAGAGCATTGCTATTAAAATTCAAAATTTAAACTTACTTTTCAAATTTAATAATATGGTAATCAATTAAAATATTTAAGATAATACTCTCTATCATATCTTTCTTAATCATCAACTGATCATATTATTTAAATATCATTAAATCTAAAAAATGAGTTCAGAAAACGAGCTTACATGCCATTTTCTTTATGGTTAAGCTAAAGGAAAAAGCTAAAAAAAAGATAAACTTGATTGAAAAAGTTGAAAGCTAATCTATTTAACAAATAATATCTTGAAGCATATAATCCGGTCAAAAGATGCAAATAAAAAGATGATACTTTGGTAGGGATAATTATTTAATAGTGTCGAAGCGCCTTGTGGTTTTATACTTTGTGCTCATCATTTCTCAAAAATGGATCTCAACAATTCATAATTTCACAAAATCCTAACTTTTCTCCAAATTTCCAAAATCTAAGGCTCCGTTTGATTCGAAAGGAAAAAAATTTCAAAACACTTTTCAAAATTCATAACTAAACACACAATTCAAAATTACACAAAACTCAATTTAAAAATTAATTTCAGAACTCATAACTGAACACACAACTGAAAACTCTGTTGATGATGTAGTGTTGAAGATGGTTAGTGATGAGATTATTAAATTATTTTTTATAAAAAGTCTAAAAAAAATAATTTCTATATTTAAAAAATATCTAAAACAAAAATAATTTTTTTTTTATTTAATTTTTTTTTTTTGCAAATAATAGGTTGCAATTGAAAAAAAAAAAATCACTGTTTCGGTCAACCGACCGGACGTCCGGGCAGACGACCAGGTAGACCCAATTTGCCCTTTTCAAAATTCAAAATTCAAAAACATATTTCAAAACATTTTTCAAAACTCATAACCGAATAATTTTTTTTTCATTTCAAAACTCAACTTACAATTCCATACTCAAATCACAACTTCAAAACGTGAATCACAATTCCAAAACTAAACCAAACGCAACCTAAGTTTTTACAAAAGAAAAATTGAGTTTTTCTTTTTGAAATTTTTTATATAATTAGAAACTCCAACAATCACGCAACTCATATTTTTCATCGATACAACTTTTTCCTCAAAATTCCTCAAGCCAAGGGTTTTCACAAAATTAAGACTTCCTCATTTAAAAAAGTTTTTGCTCATGAAACCCCCAAAACATTCTCATAATTCATAAATTAAATGATTTGAAGAAAGATTTGAGAAAACCCCTCTTTGAGCAAAACACAATCTCATAAAAATCAAATCCTAATTCCATACACTCCAAATAATATCAAAATGGATAAGATCTGCCTCCATTTTTATTTGTATTGGTATTTGTATTTTTAGAGTTAGAGGGTGAAAATCGCAATAAGATAAGTTATGAGTGTCCTGTATTTCTATTTCTATTTTTACTCCCACATTATTTTGGTTCTAATTTTTTGAATTTAATTTTTTTTAAATTAATTTTTTTGATATATATTTTTTATTTTTAGTGAATTTTTAAAATATTTTAAGTAAATTTTTTGCTTTTTAAATGTACCTAACATAGGTATACTTAAAAAGTAAAGTAGTTGTAAAAAAAAAAATTTAAAAAATCAATAAATACACAAGAATACAAAAATATACTAAACTTTCGTATTTTTTTTTAATATTTAATAAAATTTTCAAATATTGTATTTTTAATTATATATGAATTAAAAGTGCATCTAAAAATTTGCTTAAAATGTTTTTTTTAAAAAAAATCACTAAAAACAAAAAAAAAAAGAAAGGAAAAAAAATCAATTTTTTTAAAATTCAATTTAAAAAATTGGAACCAAACAAGGGGTTAATGCCAAAAAAAAGACAGAAATTACATAACGGTGGTGCTACATGCACTAATTAGTATACACACAAATGTACTAACTAGTATTATGATATCATTAATAACCCTATTTATTATATAAATTACAAATACTAAAAATCTCTAAAATTATATCATATCATCTATTAATACACTAATATATATACTAATTAATGCGTATAGTATCATTCATTACATAAACAAAAACAGGAGTTACTTATAATTAATATGTATATGTTCAAAAACAGGAGTTACTTATAATTAATATGTATATATTCATTAACGAGGTAACAGCTTTACAACCACAGTGATTTGATGTAGACTACATGTAACAATGGATAAGACCCACTACCACATTATTAATGTCATCACTAATTAGTGTTTTCATCTATTTTTGAGCACATATATCACCCACGTACGCAGTAACTTAGAAAGCCCATCATCACATGATGACGCTAGTACTACACCAAAAAGAAAAAAACAGAAAAGAAAAAGAAGAGTCTATAAATAGTGAATCCCCATCTGGAGGCATATTTGACGAGGTTGCTCATCTCCTCCTCAGTAATGAATCCGTCACCATTGCCATCAGCATGGTGAACAGCGCATCGAGCTCTCAAGCCGCTGAAACACAAACCCAGGCTTCGGAAGGCTACCTTCAGCTCTTTCTATTTTGCCATCTCCGTTGGTATCATATCTCTTTAGGATACCCTTCAGCTGCTCCTCAGTCAGGGGAAAACTGGCACCTCTTGGTTGATAGGAAGGCATTTTCTTACTTACTAGTTTCAGTGTTTGTGGATGGA